ATGCATTTTAGTCTAGGAACAGAACATTCTATGCTTGTTCTTGTGATTGAAAGTAGTTAAGATGAATAACATATGTGCATGCATAAATTTATGTGCTAGCTTCTAATGATGATTTGTGTTGTAAACAGATTATGTTATGCATGACCTTGTAGGTGAGTGCTATGCTTTGGTTTAACATGTTATGCATGTTAATTATGTAATTATATGCTTAATCTAGTATATATGCAATTGCCTTAGAACTATGGAAGTTTACAGCCTAGCTAACCCTACGGTTTCAGAATAGTTGATCCCTTATGGGTGTCCAATAATGGATCTCTACCTCTGTGTGCAGTAGGGATGCACTGAGATTAGCTTCATTACTAGAGTGTGTGTACATAAATAGTAGTAGACAGTGGACTCCATAGCCATTTAGTATATACTTATTGATTGTTTTTGGTGTTTATGTTTGTTCTGTTTTTGTTTAAGTCTCATTTAAAATCATCTAAAACAATATTTTTTTCTTCATACCATTTAAAACTATGTTGTTTTTATTAAATTTTTACCAAGAAAAACATTTAACTTTGTTTGATAGGAAAATTTTGTATTTAACATAGATCTAGTTACAAAGTTTTCTCTCTAATAATGATTAAACACTTCTTGTACTCCTTTTAATAAAAATTACTTTGTTGTTTGATAAAAATAAAAATAAAAACAACATTACTTGTGCCTCGCGTTGTGTGATACCTTGTAATTGTCATGATTAATAACATCAAGTTCAAACATCTCATTCAACACAACCACAAAATTATTGTTCATGTAATTAAGTTTAAATCATTCCAAATAATAGCTGCACCAACATAATCCATAGCTACCACAATGCAACATAAACATAAAAACCTGCATCACCCATGTGACATGTCCCGTAAGAAATGACATAAAGGAGGGATCAAGGTAAAATTAAAATTTTTCATTGTGTGGTGAGGATCCAACAGCAGAGTAGTTTCTCCTTGCATGGCAAGACAGTCATGATAAGGCTCTGGAGGAGAGACAATAGAATCATATAACATCAACTTACTAATTCCAGATATAACGAAAAAAATAATAATAATAAATAATAATAATAATAATAATAATAAGACACAGCAAACTCAGAATTGAAATAACTCACTACCTTCACTAGTTGCAGTAGAATTCATGGCACCCGCAGTCAATAGGATAGCACATGTAGTGCTGGGCTGCAATTCTACCTCACAATTGGTGGAAACATTTGAGGATCCTGCAGATTAAATAAAAAGTTAAAACAATAACATTCCATAATTAGAAGAATGTCAAAAATAGTATAATAATGTAGCAAAATATATCCATACCTGCTAAATTTCCTGTCGATATTTCAAGATCCCACAAGTTAAGTATCCATGTTCAATAATTCGCATGTTCCATCCTCGTGAACTTTTGAAAACATGCACATAATGTGTGACATAGGGGTGGAATCCGGGCCCATTTGTGGGTACGTAGGGCTGTGATGAAATAGTCACGGTGTATTATATTAAAACCCAAAATGGAAAGGGTGCATGGCTGTAACTTGAAAGGAAGGCCTAGATAATCGTGGTAAAAATCTACTTGTAGTCTTTTACTTTATTAGATTTGTAATTTTTTACTTTATTAAATTTGTAAGTTTTAATCCTTTATTTTATATTATTACACTTTCAACCCTTCACTTATTAGAATTAAATGAATTAAAAATAAACCTTTTACAAACTTTCAGTATGATTTTATATATTATTTAAATAAAACTTCACTAAGCGGTTCAATAGATAAGTTGTGCATTTTATTGAGGAAGGTGAAATGTTTATTAGATTTAAAAATTGAATTCTCAATTGCTAACAACTAATAAACCTAACCTATTAACCATCAGCTTGTCAAAAAATAAAAAATAAAAAATAATATATTATTTAAATTATTTATTTATTTATTTATTTAAAATAAAAAACATTGAATAGGTTTATTTATTTAATAATATATAAAAATATTATAAAAAAATCACCTTTATGCCACCTATTTTCACAACGTATAAAAAGGACTGAATCGTTGACGTACGTCATCAAAACGGTGACGAAATCCGAAGGACAACCGGCGGATGAGCTGAGCTTGAGGAGAATAGAAATGACTAGATCATCCGGCAAAGAATCGAACAAATCGGACTCCTCCGCCGCTATCTCCGGCAAGAATCTCTGCCGTTTCCTGTAAGTTATGTGTTCGCCGGAGAAATCCAGGCACTTCACTGCACTCTTCTCCGCCCACAAATTCGTTCTCGGCCCGAATGACCGTTTCCCTTTCTAATCCGATTAAGAGAGAAGGGGAGCAAAGTAAAGACAAAAAGGGTAAATCTGCTCCTGTACTCTTGAATTAGTAGCAACGAGCCCCCATACTCTTGAATTGGTAGCAAAACAACCCTCCCAACTAAAAATGGTGGCTTATAAGCCCACAAACTTGAAAATCAGCCTTTTTTTCATTTCACTGAAATCAGTAAGGGCATTTATTTTGACATTTTAGAAATAGCTATAAGTTATTAATTTTAATCAAATAAATTAAATATTTTAAATTATAAATATTAATAATTATCAAATATCAATTATTAACTATAAGTTGTTTCAAAAAACCTAATCCAAATAGTCTAAATATTTGGTTAAAACTAGCATTCTACCCACTTTCAGGTTGTTGTTGAGATATATTTATCTTTAGAAAAAGAAAAAAAAATTATTATTAAAATAAGAATGTTATAGTTATAATATCACATAAGAGTGCAAGTTACGATCTTATGTGGCATTAAATAAATATAATGTAACATTAAACAAGCAAATTTATACAATATCACATGTAAATCCTTGAATGAAAATAATTTATTATAAAATCACACATTATATTATGAGCTTATAATATCACGTGGTCTTGCAATTATAGCATTTTTGTTACTAAAAATAGATAATAGCATAAAATGTATTGAAATGTAATATTAAATAATTAGTTTATGAATACTTTAATAAATTTAAGAGATTTTTTAATACTATGTAATAAAAATGTATAAAACTAAAATTATTCTACCAAACATAATTTATTTGATTTAAAATGTAATTAATTCTATAATTAAATTAACTCGTACTTGACAATATACAAAATTATCCTTACAAACAGTAAACAGAACTCTGCAAACTACGATGTAAAACTCCAGAGCTAGCTGCTTGGCCTCAAACACCCATCATCTGTTATTCTAACAACCTTTCTATCTCATCTACATACATGCAACACTTTCCAGCTTCCTCTTTAACCACAGAAGCTACTTGACGACCTCAATTAATTCAAAAATTCCGCTTTTCTCCCATTGATCAATATGGAAGATCATTAGTTAACCATGAAAACTAATGCCCAAACCCCTATCAAACATCCCATAGACAAAATTTAGACAACAAGCATCAACAGTATTAAGTTTTGACAGTTTGAGTGCATAGGTAACTCCTTGTACTGGCAGTGTTTACAATGCAAGTAAGTTTCTTTTGAATATATAAAA